AGTTATTCTGGGAACTGATTAATTAAATCCCTTTCCTGGCAGTTCCATTAATATCAACACAACATGGCAGAGATATTGACATAGTGAGAAAACATTGCTTTCAACAATAGGGCTTTGTTGACAAAACAGTGAAATGTCTAGACCATTAGCAACAATTCAGAAATCCATCTTTTCTATCAAACTCATGTAGCTTACACATGCCACACACATAAGTGCACTCACACTCACACACACAGGCACACTCACAACATTCAGCATTTAAGCAAAGAAAGTGAATTTGAATTATTATGAAGTATGAATGCAGGGTCAGAAACACACTACATCAAATATTCTCTCTCTCACACACATAATTGAGAGGAGAGAAGGAAGAGTGGGTATTCAATAATATCTTCTGATGTTGATTGATAATATTATTTAATGTATCAGCTAACAGAGAATGGTTCTATTTACTGATTGTCTGCTATACTGCCAATGCTTCATAAATATGATTTCACATCCTCACAAAAGCTCTCCGAGTTAAGTTTTATTGTCTTTATTTTACAGCAGAGCTAGAAGTCACACAGCTTGTAAAGAAGCAGAATGGTGATTTAACTTTAAATCTGTCTTATTCCAAAGCCTTTACCCTTTTCACACTAGACTCCTCCTTCTTTACTTCCTGACCTCAGAGAAAATTGCTGTCCTCTCTTTCAGTTACCTTCCATGCTTGAGCGTCTGTGATTCTGCTAAATTTGCTATGTGATCTTCATGCAATGTTGCCATTTTAACGCCATCAGAGGCCCTGCTTAGCTGCTTACATGTCTGTCTCCTCTGTTGACTTCTTGAGGGGCTTTGTCTGATTCACTCATACCTCCCTCCCACATCTAGTAGCTTATCACAATTACGTGGAATGAGTGAATAGGTGTTTCCAATGAATCACATGAAAATAAGATTAGAAGGGTTTCCCTTTGCCTGGCTCACTCGTACTGGCGCTGCCATGGCGGCCTTCAGCAAGGACCTGACAGCGCGGAACTCCTCGCTGGCAGAGGCCGCGCTGCTGCTGCTATGCCTGCTCCGTAAGCGTCGTCGCAACCTCTGCCTGCAAGGACAATGAAGATTTAATTACACCATGTTCTGGTTTCCATTGTTCATATTGAGAAGTCAGCTATCATTGTGTTACTGTTGCTCCTTTGAAGTAAGAAAAATGGAAAATCACCATTACAGAACAATGAGAAAGAGGGGAAAAAAGAGCGAGCTATGGTGGACAACGTGTTTTTTTTCAAGGCTCACAAAGATTCTGAAAATCATGGTCCCTAGAACATTTTGTAAAGAGACAGGTTACTTGATACTTATTGCTGTTATGCTGGTTTCTCGAACATATTGTGATGTTTGGATGATTCAAAATGGGACACTTATTGAAAGTGGTATTATTGGTCGTAGCAGAAAAGATTTCAAGAGATACTTATTCAACTTCATCGCTGCCATGCCTGTCATCTCTCTGGTTAATAACTTCTTGAAGTTTGGGTTAAATGAGCTCAAACTGTGCTTCTGAGTAAGACTCACTAAATACCTCTATGAGGAATATCTCCAAGCTTTCACATATTAGAAAATGGGAAATCTGGACAACAGAATAGCTAATCCAGACCAGCTGCTTACACAAGATGTAGAAAAGTTTTGTAACAGTGTAGTAGATCTGTATTCATATCTTAGTAAGCCATTTTTAGACATAGTTTTGTATAGCTTCAAATTAACAAGTGCAATTGGAGCTCAGGGCCCAGCAAGCATGATGGCCTACTTGGTTGTCTCTGGGCTATTCCTAACTCGACTTAGAAGAACCATTGGTAAGATGACAATAACTGAGCAAAAGTATGAAGGAGAATATAGATATGTTAATTCTTGACTCATTACAAACAGTGAAGAAATTGCCTTTTATAGTGGGAATAAAAGAGAAAAGCAGACGATCCACTCAGTCTTCCGAAAACTGGTGGAGCACCTACATAATTTCATTTTGTTTCGGTTCTCTATCGGCTTCATTGATAGCATAATTCCCAAATACCTTGCCACTGTAGTGGGTTACCTCGTGGTCAGTTGTCCTTTCCTAGATTTGTCTCATCCTCGACATCTCAAGAGTACACATTCAGAACTTCTGGAGGATCACTACCAAAGTGGAAGAACGCTTTTACTAATGTCTCAAGCTCTGGGTCGAATAGTTTTGGCTGGTCGTGAGATGACTCAATTGGCTGGTTTTACTGCTCGAATTACAGAATTAATGCAAGTACTAAAGGATTTAAATCATGGCAGATATGAACGTACAATGGTCTCACAACAGGAAAGAGGTGCTGAAGGACCACAAGTGATTCCCTTGGTACTTGGTGCTGGAGAAATCATCAACGCAGATAACATTATAAAGTTTGATCATGTTCCTTTAGCAACACCAAATGGAGACATCTTGATCCGGGACCTTAATTTTGAAGTTCCATCTGGGGCCAATGTTCTAATTTGTGGTCCTAATGGATGTGGGAAGAGTTCACTGTTCCGTGTTCTTGGTGAATTATGGCCTCTTTTTGGAGGACGTCTAACTAAACCTGAGAGAGGAAAGTTATTTTATGTTCCTCAGAGACCTTATATGACCCCTGGAACACTTTGAGACCAAGTGATATATCCAGATGGAAGAGAAGATCAGAAAAAGAAGGGGATCTCTGACCTAGTACTGAAGGACTACTTAGACAATGTCCAGTTGGGTCACATCCTGGAATGTGAAGGAGGCTGGGACAGTGTTCAGGATTGGATGGATGTACTCAGTGGTGGAGAAAAACAAAGAATGACGATGGCAAGATTATTTTATCATAAGCCCCAGTTTGCCATTTTGGATGAATGCACAAGCGCGGTTAGTGTGGATGTGGAAGACTACATTTATAGTCATTGTCGAAAGGTTGGCATCACCCTCTTCACTGTGTCACATAGAAAGTCTCTTTGGAAACATCACGAGTAGTATCTGCATATGGATGGCAGAGGCAATTATGAATTCAAACAGATAACAGAAGATACAGTTGAATTTGGCTCTTAAAATCTGGAGAACTATACTTGCTTCAATGAAATAATTAGAGAATACACTTACAAATACCAAGTACATTATAAAATAGAGCTTTTTTTAAAAAAAAAAAAACAACAAAGCAACAGATTAACTAGAGAATAATCAAGAAGTTGTTAAAACACTTAATATTAAATAGGATATTACTAATTGTGTATATGTTGGTTTAATTATTAATATGTACTAAGAATGTCCTTATTCTTGTGGTTAAAAACCTGCCTAAATTAAATTGGGCTTAAATCAGTGTAACCTGTTTCATTCTGGGATGTAAACCATTTGAAGTCAGCTAATTTGACTTTTATGGATCTATCTTTTCCTTCAATGAAGAACCCTATTTAAAACTGGGGTCATCATTTGTCCTGTTCTAATAAGATAGTCTTGAGTATCATTTCTTGTGCCCCATGGTACTGGGAAACAAACAAATCATTATGTATTATTAAAATGTGTAACATCATTTCATAATAGCATTTATTACACAGTGGCAGATTTCTTTAGCTGCCACAGTTATGCTCACTCTTTATGCCTTGGGGTGCATTTAACTCCAGGAAAGCCAATTGGATTTTCTTTGGCTAAATAATAAATGTGCCCCTCTCAATCTCAGTAATGAGTTGTTTTGAGGGTTCCTTGTGGTAATGTAACAAAAGCATATGTGCAGTCTTGCTTACAAGGGGTGGTTACTACATGTCGCACCTAACCTTCCCAATGTTTGGGATACTAAAATACAAAATCCTTACATGCCAAGCTTAAGGTCTTATGAGATTTTAAGACTTTTAAAAGAATTGGACAGATCTGTGTATGTTAGAAGCCCATTCATTAGCAGTGTGGTGGTTATATGGTGTGAACTCCACTTGAGCCATAGGAATGCACTACATGAAGTAATGCACTGAGAATGCAATGTCTTACCATTGTCTTTGACCGTGATCTTATGTTTAAAAAATATGTTATAAAACTATTATGCACATGAGTGAATTAGCTGTTGCCTAGGCACTGGTTTATCTCTGTGAATCTTGAATAACTTTTTTGTATTTGGGATTTATGTTGAACTATCCTAAGAGAAATTGATTTCAGCTCATCGAACCACCATTGTAATGATACATGTATCATTTGCACAGGGAGAACTGAAACGGAGTATAATCAGTAAGCTAGATAGGAAGCCAGTTTTATTAAAATAGGGTTCAGAAAGGGGAATTTTCTATTCTTGTTTCTATGTAACTGTTTTTTTTTGTTTTTTTGCAGAATTAATTATAAGAATCACCGGCTATCGAAGTAAAACTTAACGTACTGATTCCATAGTACATAACATTCAATTTTTACTTCTCTTTAGCAATCTTGTATACTTACTTCCTTTCTTTTCAGATTTAAAAAAAGAAAAAAAAGATCAGACATCCTATACAACTTTTGCTTATTCTGTTTTATTCTGGTATTTGAATACCAGATAGTTCATACAGTCTTGACTTGGAGTGGGGCGGCGAGGGAGGTTAACATACAGAAAGCCCTCTGAGCACCCAGTATATCTTTTTAAAAAAGTTTTCTCAAATATGGTTTTTAATTGAATGAACTTCTCCTTTTGCAAAAGCAAGATAAAACCTTCATTCTACCTCACAAATGCTAACAGATAACCAAGAGACCTTAAAAGATACCAGCTCGGGAAAGATTTTAAGGTATGGGGAGGTTTTGAGATTTTCAGATATCTGGGTTACTGTAAACCTACTAATAGAAATATTTTGCTAGCTGCTTCCTTTTTTGTTTTTTTTTTTCCCCGTGTGATTTAGATGAAAGTTTACAGCTCAAGTTAATTTCTCATTCAAAAATTTATACACATATTGTTTTGTGACATTGGTTGCAATCCGCACAATGTGAAAGCATGTTCCCCCTTTCCACCCTGGGTTCCCTGTGTCCATTCATCCAGTTCCTGTCCCTTCCTGCCTTCTTGAAAAATATGGAATGCTTCACGGATTTGTGTGTCGTCCTTGCTCAGGGGCCGTGTTGGTCTTCTCTGTATCGTTCCAATTTTAGTGTATGTGCTGCCAAAGGGAGCACCCTGTAATGAATTCTTGCCATCAAACAAAAAAAAAAAAAAAAAATAAGATTAGAAGGGTACAAAAAATTCCAGCATTGTCCATGCTTAAGCTAGTGTGCACATGTATAATATATCCCGTATTTGTAACCCTGATTCTCCAAAGGTGTCTAGAAACCCTCCCCTTTACCACTTGTAGATCTTTCCCTCAAACAGAATGTTGGCCACAAATACACCCTTCCATTCCCATCTACCTTCCTTCCTCCCACAAACTTATACATGCAATAATTTAGGAGTCAGCTGCTCAAAAATTCCATGAGAAATACATATACAATTATATTATGGTGTAAGTGCACCATTACAAGTATGTGCAGGATACAGTGAGAGCATGGGACACTGCTGCTATTTGAGGAGCTCAGGAAAGACTACTTGGAGGAAGGTAATTAGTGAAACAAGTCTTCAAATACAGTAAATAATCAGGCAGAAGTTAAAATATTGTTAAGTATTTTATGTTTCAAGAAAAGGGACCAACCAATGTATTTGAAACCTTTGTTTAAAGATTGTTTAAAAATCAGTTTCACTTACAAGCTCCAGATTCAAGGACTAGGGCATAGTGTATAGTATTCTCAGTGGAATTGCTCCGATTTTTTCTTTTTTTCTCCAGATCATGCACTCAAATGAGAAGAGCTCAGATTAAGTTTGAAATGGTGTGTTAAACCTACCAGAGCTCGAACACAAGATTGGAGTGTTAATTCCCACTGCTCAAGGCTCAAAGCTTTAAAGTAAACTCTGTGTCAGGGAAAGCCCCAGCATGGAACAGTGGGAATGGTTATCATCTATGGAGTTAGGCGACTTGTATTTGAATACCATCTGTGCCATCCACTGGTTGTTATTTAACCTCTCTGAGCCTCAGTTCCCCCATTTTTAAAATGATGATCATAAGCTGACCAGCAATATTGTACAGACTCAATGAGATAATATATATAAACACTTATTATAGGTCCCAGCATTTTAAAGTCAATAAACAGGATTTTATCATCATTATCATTATTATTAACAATAACTTTGTCATTCTAAATTTCAGTATATCAGAATTATTTTAGGGCATTTTATAAATTTAGATGTCTGCACCCCTCCCTAGAATCCACTATATCACAGTCTCTGTAGTAGGACTCTGGACATTTCTGTTTTAAAATGTGTGACAGAAAAGTTGGATGTAAAACCAGGATATTGCGTGAGGTGCAACAATGACCTTCTTTGAAAATTCCATTACTCAGAGGCTCTAGATGAGTCAAGAGACTTGTGTCGCAGTAGGGCTCAGAAAGTGTTATCCAAATTCTTTCCTATCAAGGCCTTTTTTAACAATTGGTTTCCTAATTTAAATGTATCAATAGTTGACAAAAACAGTTAAGAGGTCAACTGCTAACCAAAAGGTTAGGGGTTTGAGTTCATCCACAGGCACCTCAGAAGAAAGGCCTGGTGATCTACTTCCAAAAAATCAGCCATTAGAAACCCTATGGAGCAGAGTTCTACTCTGACACACACGAGGTTGCCAGGAGTCGGCGTTAACTTGATGGCTACTGGTACTGGTTACCTTAAACATGTCTGATACTGAATAGTGATTATATATTTATACTTACTATTTTTCGAGCACTTTTTATGTACTAGAAATGTAAAAAGTGTTTTACATATCTATGCCTGCGCAGAAACCCAATATATTGTTCTTCCTGGTCTGTCAGTTGTAGATGAAGAGAGTAAGAATCAGAGACATTGTCTTAGTCATCTAGTGCTGCCGTAACAGAAATATCACAAGAGGATGGTTTTAACAAAGAGAAATTTATTTCTTCAAAGTAAAGTAGGCTAAAAGTTCAAATTCAGGGCGTCAGCTCCAGGGGAAGGCTTTCTCTCTCTGTTGGCCTTCTTGTCAATCTTCCCCCGGACTAGGAGCGTCTCCACGCAGGGACCTCGGCTCCAAAGGATGCACTCTGCTCCCAGCACTGCTTTCTTGCCGGTATAAAGTCCCCCTCTCTGCTTGCTTCCCTTTCCTTTTTATCTCTTGAGAGATAAAACTTGGTGCAGGCCACACCCCAGGGAAAATTCCTTTATGTTGGATCAGGGATGTGACCTGGGTAAGGGTGGTGTTACAATCCCACCCTAATCCTCTTTAACATAAAATTACAATC